CTATTACGATAGATCGGTGCAGCGGTCCAAAACCTCACGCCACAGCACCTCGGGGCTCCTCGGCCTCTTCGTCTTCCTGCTCTGCGGCGCGCCCAGGGGGGGGGGGGAGGCAGAGAGGGTGGGCAATCTCAGATGGCCCAGACCTCGGCATCGCTCGGACGCGTGCCTTTCTTTTCGGCGGGGGCCAGCGAGGAGCCTCTTGGATCAAAACACGCGCACGGGGTCGACAGAAAAGCACGGGGCCATTGGACGTCCGAGCGATGGCCAGAGGCGGCCTCAGAGCTTCCGAGCAGTTTTTGCCAGACCTCTCCGAAACCCCGCAGCCTTCTGAGCAGGCCTGCCACCTCTCGCCTCCCCTCCTCGGCACGCCGCCGACCCACAGCGGGGGCGTGCATCAGGAGACCATGTGCTTTTCGTCAGGGTATCCCGGGTTTCTCTGCTCCGCGCGCTGCGCGGTGACTTCCCGCAGCCGCTGAAGGGGCTGCTGCGCTCAGGGTGCTCCGGGTCTCCCCGCCGGTGCAGCTCGCGCGCGGGCTTTCAGGGCTGGGTTTCTTGCGAGGATTTCTTGCGGCCGCCTCCGCACTACACACCCGTCCTCGTCCATCCTAGTTCTCCTTTGGACCGCATGGCTACTACACTCATGGCCGCGCGCCTCCGCGTGGGTGCGGGCTCGGGACGGAGGGAAGGCGGAGGAGGGGAAGAGCTGGAGCGGGAAGGGCGAGGGAGAGCGGGGAGGGCGCCGGTTTGGGGCTGGGGACGGGCAGCAGGCCCACCACAGGAGTTGCACTTCGGTGCGACCGAAACGGGAGTGTACTTGTGAGTGTCGGACACACGCCGTACTGTACGCCCCCCCCCCTCCCCTCCACCGGCAAAGCCCCCCCCTCCCCTACCCCCCCCCCCTCTCCCCCTCGACAACCCGGGGGGGGGGGGGTCACTACCGGTTCGAACCTCCCACCCCTCGAAAACCAGAGGGAGGGTCACTGCTGGTTCGAACCCCTCCCCACCCCTCCCCTCACCGCCAGCAAACGACTCCCGGTCCCTACGACCGTCCGCACCACATCCCCCACTGTTGTTCCCAGCACCACTGTCCTCACCACCACTGTCCCCACTGTGTCCCCACTGGTTCCACCACCGTCCCTACTGTGCCCCCACCACGGTCGCACTGTCCCCACTGTCCCCACCGCTGTTCCCCCATTCTCCCCACTTTTTCCACGGCCCCACCCACTGCCCGACTATCCCCACTGTCCCAACTGTCCCACTGACTCCTCCGCTGTCCCACTGAGCTGTCTCACTGTTCCCACCACTGACCCCACTGTCCCCACCACTGTCCCCTCTGTACCTCTGTCCCATTGTCCCACCGCCGTCCTCGCCACCGCCTTCACCACTGTCCCCATCACCACTGTACCCTCCACTGTCCCACTGTTTCCACCACATTCCCACTGTCCCCACACCACTGTCCCCACCACCACCGTCCCCACCACCTGTCCCACTGTCCCCACTGTTCCCACCATCACTGTCCTCACCACTGTCCCCACCACTACCGTCCCCACCACTGTCCCACTGTCCCCCCCACTGTCCCGCTGTCCCCTCACCACTGTCCCCACCACCACCGTCCCCACCACTGTCCGCACCCCCTCCCGGTTTTCAAGGGGGGGGGGGTTCGAACCGGTAGTGACCCTCCCCGGTTTTCGAGGGGGGGGGGGTTCGAACCGGTAGTGACCCCCTTCTTTTCTTGATGGACTGGGGGGGGGAGAGGTTCGAACCGGTATTGACCCACGCCGGGTTTTCCGGAGGGGGGGTGGGGGGGGGTTCGAACCGGTAGTGACCCCCCCTGGTTTTCCGCCAGCAGCTCTTTCGTGTGTGTATATATATACACACAGACATGTGTCTGTGTGCGCTAGTTGACCGTCGAGGCGTCGCTCTCTTAAGCCACTGGGGCCCTTCATTTGGGCCCCGTGAGCGTCGCCTGAGGGGGTCCTGGGCTCCCCCATCCAGCGTTGGCGCACCTTGCATGGGCACGAGCAGACACGCCGGACGATGCTGCGCCCTTGCGCGAAGAGTTGCGCATTGCCTGCCCGTCTATAGCTGCGGGATGCACGCGTCTGCCCCGTACGATCGGGCTCTGGCAGGTGACGGACAGAAAATGGCTGCCTGCTGAAGGGCCCGTGGTGTCCGGCAGCTTCCTTCTGGGCCCGTGTCCAGGCCCGTGGGCGGCCCCGCGTCTCTTCGACAGGCCCACGGCTTCACCTTCTCTCGGGGCTGCGCCCCGTTGTGCCTCCTCCCCCCCCCCGCCGCGCCACGGCCCCTCCGCGGCAGTTACTGGATCAGGCCACCTCGAGGCAAGGGCGGCGTGGTCCGAGCCCCCTCTTCGCTCGCCTTCCCGCTGCCCCGCGCCTCCGGCACCTGGGGAGACATGGCCGAGGCCGGCGAGGGCGCTGCAGGTCACATCCAGTTGAAGGTGAAGGATCAACAGGGCAGCGAAGTTCAGTTCAAGATCAAGAAGTCGACTCCTCTCCGCAAGCTGATGGACGCGTACTGCAGCCGCCTGGGCCTCCAAGCCTCTCAGGTCCGATTCATGGTCGACGGTGAGCGTATCGCTCCAGACGACACTGCCGAGAAGTTGGGGCTGGAGGACGAAGATCTGATCGACGTGGCGATGGAGCAGACGGGGGGTGCACCCACACGCTGAGACCGTGCAGTTGCAGTGCAGGGTGATCCAGCTGCCTGCGGCAAGCCCCGCCACCGTGCTTGTGCAGCAGCTTCGCAGGAAGAGGGGCCTCTTCGAGCTGGTAGTGTTGCCTTTGGTGGTCTATTGGGGGGCTCTTGGAGGTATCGTGGGGTTGGGCTTCTCTCGGGGGCGTCTTGGGGCCTCGGGGGGCCTCTCCGGGGCATGTTGGGGGTCGTGGAGGCAATCTTGCAGGGAAATGCTCCCGAAGCCAGCTCGATGTCCTTCTCCTGGGCCCCATGCTGGGGCCTTCTTGCGGGCCTCTTGGGCCGTCGTCGGGCCTCTTCAGCCGCCTGCGGGCCCTCTTGGGCTGCTTTAGGACCCCCTCAGGCCGTCTTGGAGCCCTCCTGGGCTGCCTCCGGGCACTCTTGAGGGACTCCTGGGCTGTTTTGGAGCCCTCTTGTGGACATGTTGGGCCGTCTTGGGACTTCGGGAGTCCGGAAGGCAAGAGCCCCAGCATCGCTCACAAGCCACAAGAGTGCTATTGTGTTTTGCCCCTCGAGGACCTCTTGGGCGTACTCGCGGAGCCGTCTTGGGACGTATTGGAGGCTTCTTAGGCCGTCTGGAGACCATCTTGGGTCGTCTGGAGGCCCTCGGGGGGCCTGTTTTCGCCACCTGCGGGGGGGGGGCATGCTTTTTAAATGTTTTGCCCCCCCCGCCGGGTGGCCTGTCTTGATCCCCATCAGTGGGGCTGCTCTTCGACCCCTCATTCTTTGATGCGCGGTTTTTCGAGGGACGCGTGCGATGAGGCGGGTGGTGGCCGCCTTCTGTAGACGCTAAAAGTACCTCACAGCCCGCAGGGGAGCATTCTGACACGCTCGCTCCGTGCAGGCACGGTGGCGGATCTGTTCGACTGTTGCCTTTGATATGGGGTACGGCACAGCGAAATATGATAGCGTGACGAAGTGCTAGCGTCCAATGCTGTCTAATGCCTGGCATTCTCAGGCATGACATGAGGGTTATTACGATAGATCGGTGCAGCGGTCCAAAACCTCACGGCACAGCACCTCGGGGCTCCTCGGCCTGTTCGTCTTCTTGCTCTGCGGCGCGCACAGGGGGGGGGAGGCAGAGAGGGTGGGCAATCTCAGATGGCCCAGACCTCGGCATCGCTCGGACGCGTGCCTTTCTTGTCGGCGGGGGCCAACGAGGAGCCTCTTGGATCAAAACACGCGCACGGGGTCGACAGAAAAGCACGGGGCCAATGGACGTCCGAGCGATGGCCAGAGGCGGCCTCAAAGCTTCCGAGCAGTTTTTGTCAGACCTCTCCGAAGCCCCGCAGCCTTCTGAGCAGGCCCGCCACCTCTCGCCTCCCCTCTTCCGCACCCCGCCGACCCAGAGTGGGGGCGCGCATCAAGAGACCATGTGCTTTTCGTCAGGGTATCCCGGGTTTCTCTGCTCCGCGCGCTGCGCGGTGACTTCCCGCAGCCGTTGAAGGAGCTGCTGCGCTCAGGGTACTCCGGGTCTCCCCGCCGGTGCAGCTCGCGCGCGGGTTTTCAGGGCTGGGTTTCTTGCGAGGATTTCTTGCGGCCGCCTCCGCACTACACACTCGTCCTCGTCCATCCTCGTTCTCCTTTGGACCACATGTCTACTACACTCATGGCCGCTCGCCTCCGCGTGGGTGCGGGCTCGGGACGGAGGGACGGTGGAGGAGGAGAAGAGCTGGAGTAGGAAGGGCGAGGGAGAGCGTGGAGGGCGCCGGTTTGGGGCTGGGGACGGGCAGCAGGCCAACCACAGGAGTTGCACTTCGGTGCGACCGAAACGGGCACGTATCGGGGCGACCGAATTGGGTACGGAACGACTAGGAATCATCTCGGGTGCTTCCTGAGCCGTCGTCGAGCCACCTCCTCTCGGCGGGAAGCCTGGGGGGAAGCGAGTAGGGGTGGGCCTTCTCAGAGGGCTTCGCCGAAGAGACAGAACACTTCTCAGAGGGCGCGAGGGCTTCTGAGAAGTCCCGCTGCCTTCTGAGAAGGCCTTCTCCTTCCCACTTCCCCCCCTCCCTCGCCGCCGAAAGGAGGGGGAAAGGGGGAAGAGGGAGGGGAGGATGAGACGGAGGAGGAGGAGGAGGAGGAGGACGAGGAGGAGGAGGATGAGGAGGAGGAGGAGGAGGAGGAGGAGGAGGAGGAGGAGGAGAGAGGGAGAGAGGAGAGAGGAGAGAGGAGGAGGAGAGAGGAGGAGGAGGAGGGAGGAGGAGGAGGAGGAGGAGGAGGAGGAGGAAAAGGAGGGAGGAGCAGGAGGAGAGCCCAGCGACCACAGCCCTCCCCGCAGCCCGCGCCAGGCCCAGAGGGGCGAGGCCTGCCCCTGGCGCGCCTCGGGTGGCGCCAGGGGGAGCCGGCCCCGCGCCAGCGCAGCTGCGGAGGCCGTTTATCAGGAGGGGAAAAAACACACAGACACAAGTAATCGTCCATTCCAAGGAAAATATGTGAAAATATGGGAAGTGGGGGGTAAGACAAGAACCCAGAAAATATAGGAAAATATGGGGGACAATTTTATTTGTGTGTATTTATTTGTGTGTCCTGGGGCCCCTTCAGTTTAGCTGCGCGACTCCACGCAGGAGTGACCCTTCGCCGGAGCGACCTCTGTTACGGGCCCTCGTCGTCTACAGGTAAGAGTGACCTTTCGCCGGAGTGACCTTCGGTGCGGGCCCAATAGGGTGCCCCGATCGCCGAGCGCGATGCGGCAGTAGCGTCTTGCGCGCTTGTGTTTGGCACCCCCGCGGCCTCAAAAAGCCGCGCACCAAAGGTCACTCTTACCCAGGGTCACTCTTGCGTGCAGCCGACCTCGGGGCTCAAGAGACGGGGGTCGATCGCCGGCGCACAGCGGGGGGTTGGGGGAGAGGGCAAGGTTTCTTAGAAGCGCCCCTGCTTCTTAGAAGGCGCGGGCCTAGTCCGTAGAGGTAGGGCCAGCGCCCCCTAAGAAGCAGCCACCTTCCAAGAAGCCTTCCCCCCTCACCCTATCCCCTTGTGCGCGCCGCCAACCTTCGCTGGAGTGACCTTTGGTGCGGGCCCTTGGAGCTCAAGAGACGGGGGTCTATGCAAACTGGGCAGTCCGAGCGCCGGATTTTGCGGGATCCTGCAGGGCCAGGGGTGCACTGACCCGGGCTTGGGTGCAGGATCCTGCAGGATTCTGCAGGATTTTGCAGGATCCTGCGCGGCCTGATTGGCCCTGGTCTGCATTGATCCGGGTCAGAAGATCCCCGAGGTCCCTTGGGGTTCCCCAATCGCCGAACGTGATACGGTAGCAGCGCCTTGCGCGCTCGTGTCTGGTCCCCCCGCGACCCCCCGAAAAGTCGCGCACCAAATGTCACTTTTGCCCAGGGTCACTCTTACGTTCAGCCGATGAATATCGCCCCGTCTTTGTTCGGGGTTTGCCAGAGGAGGTGTCCCAAAACATGCCAACAACCATCAAGACGGACATGCTTTTCGTAGTTTTCGGCCTCTTGGGGCTCCTGCCAGGCCCCAGGACCGTCAAACAGGGGTTTTGCAAACGGGCCCCGGGGAGAGCGTTCCGGACTTGCGGAGGCCCCGTATTGAAAAATCAAGACATCGGATGTCTAGGTCTCTGGCCAAAGGTGCTCCCCGCGAGAACTACCGCGTTATATGGACGATGAACGATGGACGATGGAATCAAGAAGCGATGATGAGTTCTTTTTGGTTTCCCGTCAAGGGAACATCTGCATGAAAAGCTGTGTGGAGTGATGTGGCGAATCATGTGGTGGCGGGGCTGCATTCTGAATGGTCCCTCTCTGTACACTTCGTTCGAGCCGCAAGAGAGTGGCCGACGCAGAGGATGATGACGAAGGTAATGGCGGAGGTGGGCAGGCGACAGAGTCGGAGAAGGGTGGATCGGGGGCAACGTTGGGGGGGAAACTGCTCGGGGGAGATGCATCGACCCCGTATCTCACAGGAGGTAAGGTGCCCACACCGCTACCTCTCCCTCGTTTTCTTCTCGTTTTGAGGCCTCTTGGGAGGCCCTCGTCGCCACCGTCGGGTTCGCCTCGACATTCTGGTCAGAAGGCACCCCGGGAGAGGTCCGGGGAGTAGCGGTATCGGTACCTTTGGCTCCCCATTAACACTCATTCATCGCCGATAGGTCGGCGGAGGCAAGCGAGGGGGCGAAGTGGGAAGGAGAAGGCCTTCTCAGCTGGCGGCGGGACTTCTCAGAAGGCCAGGGACTTCCGAGCCTTCTGAGAAGGCCCGCCCTATCTCACGTCCTCCTCGCTCGTCGCCGAATAGGGCCAGCACGGAGGTGGAGCGATTGTTTCGCCAGTTTCTGCGAGTCAGAGAGTGGGGCCGGAGTCGTTTGGATGACAATCGCTGCAAGTTCTGATTATTATTTGCACCATCTGGGAGCGCATGCCACGAAGTTTCACACATTCGTTAATCGTACTGACAAGCCTTGAAATCATATTTTCCTGCTCCCCTGAGTGTGGCAACCTGCTCTACGGGGGCGTGCCGCTGTCCCCGTTCCCGGGGCCAGCTCCGGCTGCCTAGAGCGATGCTCGTATTATCGTCTAAATAGCAGGGGAAGGAGGAGGAGGAGGAGGAGGAGGAGGAGGAGGCGGAGGATGAGGAGGAGCAGGAGGATGAGACGGGGGATGAGGAGGAGGAGGAGGAGGAGGAGGAGGAGGAGGAGGACGAGGATGACGAGAAGGAGGCGGGCTCAAGACGTGTACCGCCTGGCCCCCCTTCGGCAAGGGGGCCTGTGGGGGCGGGCCAGGTTACCCATGCACGGTAGCACGCGCCGTGTGCCCCGCACGGTGGCGTGAGGTAAATTGTGTCCCTTGGTGCAGAGCCAGGGAAGCATGGGGGCCGCCCGCCATCGGCGGGTTGGTGGAGCTCCTGGAGCTCCACGTGATGAGCCTGGTTTTTTTTTGTCGTTTTTTTTTTTGTTTTCTCTTTTTCTCGTGCCCCGCCGGAGAGCGCGGCCCTTAGCTCCGGGGGGTCGCAGGGCGGCGGGTTTGCCCCGCCCCCCTACGGCGGCGGGCGCGCGCACTCATCGCCCGCTATTTCGTGCGCAGGAGGAGGAAAAGAGGACGACAGGGCGATGAGGAGGACCCCTGGTCGCCCCGCCCTTCTGTCGCCCCGGTAAGACAGGTTGGGGATGGGCGCTCCCCTCCGGCAGGCCGCCTCTGGAGGCGGCCGCGCCCGCCCGGCGGCCGCGGCACAGGGCGCCCCGCCGGCCGCTAAGGCCCGGCCCGCCAGAGGTGCGCGCGGGCGCGCCAAGTCGCGAGGGGCCCATCGAGAATCGAACAGCCCTTTTTTTCTGAACTTCGTGACGCAACGAAGCCGTGGCCCAGCTTAGGTCCCCATTTTTGTAATAAGGTTGATAACTTCGGGCGATGTGGTTTGAGACCGCTGTTGAGGAGACCCCTGTCCCTGATGCTTGGGCCTGTTAAGTGAAGGCCGTTCTCATAGGGTTACGTATCCTTTGGTTGCCAGTCAGGGGCGGTCGGTCGGTCGCCAGAGCTATTCGTTAATCGAAATGGCGGAAAAATGTGTAAGCATAAACGTTGGGAGTTCCGCGTGGACTTTTTGGGTCGGAGGTTCTGGCGGCGCTTCTGGCGTCGCCCCTGGCGCGTTCCGCGCGCCAAAGAGGGTTTTGGGGGAGCGGCGCCGAACCGAGAAATCCGCGCGGAAATCCAGAAGTTCGTGTGCATGCCGCTGTCTGTCCCTCCATGGGTACGGGAGACGAATACCGACAGCAGTTCCTGTCCATTTTGCAAAGGGTTCGCTGTTGGCGTCGCCGCGGGCGCTGCGTTTTGGAGACAAGAGGCCACCTGCCCAGCAGCAGCCGCTGTTGGTTTTCAAATCATGTGTTTGGGCATCGTGCCCATTTGTTCCGTTGCCCGTTTCGGGCGTCCTCAACGTCATCTGGGTCGCTGATTTGCCCCATCCCCAGGGACTTCCTTGCTCCCCAGGGTCCACGTCAGGAGGGGCAGGTTCAGGGGGGGACGCATCGACCCCCAATCGCCCATTCATCGCCGATAAGGGGCCCGATTGCCCATCCCGCCCAGGGAGGTGCGGACTCACTATCGGAGACCTATCGCCGAGCTATCGGCGATGTGTCGCCGATTCTAGTTCGGCGTTTGCCCCTGAGCCACTGCACCCCTCACGTTGCCCCTCTGACCGTCGTTGGATTGCCAGAGTTGGTTCCCCCCAGGACCTCAAGAGGAGGAGACGGTACCTATACCGCTACCCTTGACTCTTTTTCGTTCTTTGGGAGGCCCTCGTCGCCATGGCCAGACTCGCCCCGAAGTTCTGGTTTGGCTTTATGTTTCGAAGAGCACAACTACTGCATCAACATAATTGTTGGGAGCTGCGCGCGCGGAATTTGTTGGATTTGCGATGGACCCCACCAAAAACCAAGCGAATCAGAAGAACACTGTTTGGCTTGAGCCCTGTGCCTTCTGTCTCCCCGGGACCTCCCTGCTCCTCCCTCCTCCCAGGGCCCCCCTTCCTGAGGATGTAGATGGAGGGCCCCTGCCCCCCGACACCCCCTCGGCCCTCAGGCGAGGCCTGGGTGGCCCTCGGATCCCCCCCCACCCCACCCTTAGTTCGAGGGGTGGTAAAAAGTATTGACTATCACCGAGCGCGTTCCACTACTCGCAAACGTCCGAAAAGTACATGTTTGCTTCGATGTAATTTATAGTAGATCCCCCGCGGCGGATGCAGGCCATTTGCGAGCAGTTCTTTTGCAAGTAATTAGTGGAACGCGCTCGTCTAGACTAGACGTAAGAGTGACCTTTCGCTGGAGTGACCCTTGGTGCTGGTAAGAAGATGGGCCCCCAGATGGCTGAATGCGAAGCGGCAGCTGCGGCTTGCGCGCCCAGGTTTTGCCACCCCGCGTCCTCCGTATAGATTGACCGCGCACAAAAGGTCACTCTTGCCTTGGGTCACTCTTGCGTGTTGCCGAAGAACCCCTTGGCCCAAGGTGCCCCAAGCTTTTCACCATAACCCCTGGGGCACTCTTGGCCTCGTGAGGGGTGCTCTGGAGGCAGTTGGGGGCCGTGGGGGCCTCCTTGGGAATTCTGGGGGCACCTTGGGCCAGGGGCATTTCTACCAACACCCGACTAGTGAGACCAGACGAGGCCCTGATCACTGGATGCCAGAATTTGTTGGTCGCGACTGGCGAGGTCGGTCGCTACCCGTGTCACTTCAAATTCCAGTATCGGTCGCGAGTGATTTGCTTCCCAGGCCGGTCGCGACCAGTTGGGAAGGGAGGCCCTCGGACGTTTTCGTTGGCTCTCGGCGAGTTTCCAGCCTCGGGATGCTCTCCATGATGGGCCTGTTTTCCACCACCACCACCAGGAGTTGGAGGGGGAGGGGGTCCTCGTCCTCCTCCTCCTCCTCCTCCTCCTTCACCTCCTTGCCCCTCCAACTTCTGGTGGTGGTGGTGGACAGCAGGCCCATCACTCCAGCAGCTGCGCCTCGTCGAGAGCCTTCGGCCGGATCGTCCCGAGCGGCCGCCAGAGGCCCGAGGCGTGGGCCCACTGGCTGCGCAGAGCCGGCTGCGGCCCCACTGGGGCTCGTGATGGCCCAGCAGAGGTCGCGTCGCCCATGCACGGTATTGTTCAACCGATCCCCATCCCCATACTCATCCCCTTGGAGACCCCTTCCAAATTACCACCCCAGTTGGGGATACACCCCCAGAAACCCGAAGGGAACGACCTACATTCCCTGCTGGGGGGGTAAATCGGCCAGTGGGGCCCAGGCCACGCGACTGGGGATTGGGATCGGATGAGCGATACTCACAGGATGGCCCAGCAGAGGTCGCGTCGCCCATGCAGCGGTTTTCCTGCGCTCTCTGGCGCCACACATGTTGGTTCGAGCAGGTTTTCTTTGCCCCGACCTTCGTTCCCCCTGCACTCCCTTGCCCCAGAAACCAGCCAATGGGAAAGGTGGTTGACGAAATCTGCTGCGTGCTGCTGGTTTCGACCCCACCGCCGGGCGAGTTTCTCGATGTGCTGGAGCCCTTGGCGCCATGGGGCGCTGGGGGAACCAGCTATACGTGAGCTGGTTCGCGAACCCGCCGTTGCTACGGTCGGACCGAGGTATAAGATCGAGGTCGATTCGGGGAGGGTGCCCGAATGTCCTCCGCGTCTGTTGGATGTTATTGTGCACCCTGATGGAGGGTGCCCTCGAGTGTTCTTCGGTCCAGCGGAGGGTCCCGCGCTCTTGAACGATAATTTTCTGTCCTAGGTCTGGCCGTATCCTCCCCTTGCCTCCGACCTGCTTGGTCACCAGAGACGGGGCTCCTGGACCTTTCGTCTTCCAGAGGAGGAAAAGGTACCCATGGCCTCTACTCCTCCCTCGGTTTACCCCTTTTGGGCATTCTGAGAGGCCCTCGCCGCCACCGCTGGATTCGCTCCGAAATCCTCGTCAGAAAGCGCCCCAGGAGAGGTCCAGAGAGGAGCGGTATCGGTTGCTATTGATTTCCCCAGTCCTCTCCGCAGCAGGGTCGGTGAGGCTTCCGCCACCAGGGTCGGTGAGACGGGGGAGCGCAGCTGTCGCACTGGCCGCTGAGGCGCGCCCGAGTCAGAGGCCCCTGCGGCGGGCAGAGGAGGCGAAGGAGGAGGGGGAGGTGGCGTACTGAGTCCAACAAAGGCGAAGCGTCATGTCCTGCCCATAGGCCCAGCAGATAATGTTCGAGACGCGTATTTTTGATTACATTTACGGCTGAGGCAATACTGGTATACGACATCGGCTTCATGTTCTAAGAACATTGCTTATCCCATCTCTTGTTCTGGGATCATGTTGTTGTGGGCCTGCAGGAATTCTGGGACGGCCAGACCCTGGTCAAAAGGGGAGGACGAGGAGGCCCCCTGGGGAGGAGGACGCCCGTGAGCCCCCGCGACGAGCCGATGATTTGGCACGCCCGAAACGGGCACGGAGAGAAAATTGGTATACGATGCCCAAGTGCACAGTGCCCCAAGCTCGCGCCTGAGGATAGGGAATGGGGGGGGGGTACGAAATGAGCTGCAGGCAGCTGGTGTCGGCTCCGCCGCTGGGCCCATTCCTCGATATATGGGCGCCTCTCAGCGCCAGGAGGCGCTAGGAGAACCAGCTACGGGAGTCCCACCAGCCCTCTGGGCGTAGGTGGTTTAGGGAGTTTCCTCTTCCATCTTCCCTCCTTCCCCTTCGGGGAGGGGTTTACCCCTCCCCCTAACCCCCTCCCCTGGACCTGGACGGGGGGTTCCGCGACGCGTTGGGTCGTCTAAGATGGCCCAAGACGGCTCCAAGAGGGCCTCGGAGAGGCCAAGATGACCTCCAAGATGCCTCGAGATAGCCCAAGATGCCTCAAGATGGCTCCCCAGATGCTCCAAGAGGCCCCAAGATCGCCCCAAGACGACTCCAAGATGCCTCCGAGACTTCCAAGGATACCCCCCAAGAGGCCAAAATCTTTCAAAAACCTAAGGAAAACCAATGAATTTTGCTTTCTCGCCTTTTCGCTTCCGATGGCCTTCCGAGGCCTCAAGATGGCTCCAAGAGGGCCCAACATAGCCCCAAGAGGGGCCCAAGAGAGCCTCAAGACGGCCCCAAGAGCGCCCAAGAGCGCTCCAAGAGCGCCTCAAGATGAGCCCAAGAGGCGACTTTAGAGGGTCTAGAGGGGCGGGGCTAATTAACCCCACCCTCTTCTTTGATCTATCGCCTCCAAGATGGCCCCAAGAGGCGCCCAGGAGGCCCCAAGAGGCGCCAAGATGGCCCCAAGATGGCCCCAAGATGGCCCCAAGAGGCTCCCCGAGGCACCCAAGACGCCCCAAGAGGCCTCCGGGACCGCCAAGACGCTCCCAAGACGCCCTAAGAGGCCTTCAGGACGCTCCCAAGAGACATCCGAAGAGACTCCGAGAGGCATCCAAGAGGCCTCTGGCCATTCTGCTCGCCCTTCTCCTCATCCTCCTCCTCATTCTCGTCCTGCTCCTCCTCCTCCTCCTCATCCGCCTATTGCTCCTCCTCCCTCCCTCCTCCCGCTCCCCCTCCTCCTCCTTCAGTTCCTCCTCCTCATCCTCCTCCGATTCCTCCTCCATCCTCGCCGTCTTGGGTAAGACGGGTTCCCCAGCCCTTTGTTACTCTGTATGCTCCCTCACTTCCCTGATCACCTCCATTCGCCTGGTGGGCTGGTGGGGATACTTTTTTGGGGGTGGGGATAATTTTTTGTTCAGCGGCCCGCAAGGAAGAGTCCAGAGGGCGGAGTAACCGAGGCTGG